GTTTAAGGCCCTATCTGTTTGTTGGTTAAGAGTTATAAAGTTTAATGCCCTATCTGTTTGTTTGTTAAGAATTATAAAGTTTAAGGCCCTATCTGTTGGTTGGTTAAGAGTTATAAAGCTTTAGGCCCTATCTGTTTGTTGGTTAAGAGTTATACAATTTAATGCTCTATCTGTTTGCTGGTGAAGAGTTATAAAGTTTAATGCCCTATCTGTTTGTTTGTTAAGAATTATAAAGTTTAAGGCCCTATCTGTTTGTTGGTTGAGAGTTACAAAGTTTAAGGCCCTATCTGTTTGTTGGTTAATAATTATAAAGTTTAAGGCCCTATCTGTTTGTTGGTTAAGAGTTATAAAGTTTAAGGCCCTATCTGTTTGTTGGTTAAGAGTTATAAAGTTTAAGGCCCTTTCTGTTTGTTGGTTAAGAAGTTTAAGGCCCTATCTGTTTGTTGGTTAAGAGTTATAAAGTTTAAGGCCCTATCTGTTTGTTGGTTAAGAGTTATACAGTTTAATGCCCTATCTGTTTGCTGGTGAAGAGTTATACAATTTAATGCCCTATCTGTTTGCTGGTGAAGAGTTATAAAGTTTAATGCCCTATCTGTTTGTTGGTTAAGAGTTATAAAGTTTAATGCCCTATCTGTTTGCTGGTGAAGAGTTATACAATTTAATGCCCTATCTGTATGTTGGTTAAGAGTTATACAATTTAAGGTCATTGGAGTGTATTAATAAACGGAAACAGGAAGTGCATCCCTAGTTGAAAATCCAATGTAGGGAGACAGTATCACAATTTCCGCAAATTCTAATGTTTAATATTAAACTGATGAATATTGTATGTTTATTATTGACAGAACAGTGTGTTCTCTCAATATTAAAGTATTTCAAAGCAATCCAGGCATTTATTCACGTGTTTTTTTTTATCAATAAGTCACATGTGTCCATTTTTCTGTACTTCAGGAAACCGGCTACCTATTTCACTACTGTGAAGTTTTTCAAGAACGATAACTCTTACCTGCAATTACTATGTGTATATGGTTTTATTATAAAATGTCAATTTTTATATCTTGTATAGAGAATTAATTTTACACAATTTCAGCATTTATTAAATTGATATACATTAATGCAATACTAATATATGTCAGTATCGTTTTTATTGACATTATTTTGTAAAAATATTGTGTCTTTTATTTATTTTTCAAAATTCACTCCTTTTTACATAAATTTCCATTTAAAATCCTTAAAATTCTGACAACCCATATTATTTTGGTGACAGAAAATTTTCTTTACTTTAAAGCAATGTAACTACAAAATTTGAAGAAATTCTACTGAGAAATGGTGACACAATCCTATTACCTTAATGCCCTATCTGTTTGCTGGTAGGTGTCAAGTCTACCGTGGCAGGATGATGAGCTGAGTGCTGAGACCAATCTGATCACTGAAAAACTGGCCGCCATCAACAAATGTGGAGTACTGACTATCAACTCACAGCCCAACATAAATGCTGCTCCGTCTACTGACCCCAAGGTCGGCTGGGGAGACCCTAATGGATACATCTTCCAAAAGGTACCTGTGTATTTCTGAAAGTTCACTTAATTACTTGCCCTTAAACGTTTTGACACTTACATTCTATAGTTATATTGGATGTTCCAAGATATGCCATTAAAAAATATGACCGTCCTATAATTCATGCCAAACCTGTTGTCATCCTACAGTCTATGTTTATGATGTTGTCGTTAATGTGAGCCCCTTGAATAATTGATGCACCCTACTTGTGTTTCATAGGGTCATATTGTATTACCTGCTGGAGATTGATGTCTGTGTGTTACCTGCTGGAGATTGATGTCTTTGTATTACCTGCTGGAGGTTGTTGCTTTGTGTTACCTGCTGGAGATCATTGATGTCTTTGTGTTACCTGATGGAGATTGATGTCTTTGTATTACCTGCTGGAGATTGATGTCTTTGTGTTACCTGCTGGAGATTGATGTCTTTGTATTACCTGATGGAGATTGATGTCTTTGTATTACCTGCTGGAGATTGATGTCTTTGTAGTACCTGCTGGAGATTGATGTCTTTGTATTAACTGTTTTGATTAACCATTATGCTTTACTTTGTCAGGCCTACTTGGAATTCTTCACATCAGAAAAGAATGTGACTGCTCTGAAAGATATATTGGAAAGCTATCCTCTTGTGAACTATCACATTGTGGATTCCAAGGTAGTTAACAATCAATCAAATAAACATTAAACACCACCTCGTCCAAAGTTAACACATCAATCAAAATCAGAAATAAGTCTTCGATAATTTGAAGGTAAGAAGACAACTAAATAAGTTAAAAAATCATTAATTTGAAGGTAATAAATCAATCAAATTGGCCATATACACTCATTAACTCCACATTTTAATATTTGGGATAATAAAACAGCACATATTGTAGCATTATAGAAACATTTATGAAGCCATTGAATGTGTAGGGCGACGTTGACTACACCAACTGTGATATGACTCTGCCTATTGCCGTTACCTGGGGAGTGTTCCCAGGCAAGGAGATTATCCAGCCTACTGTTGTTGACCCTATTGCCTTCAAAACCTGGAAGGTGAGTGTCCAGTTGTCTCGCATAAGAAATCATGTGTATATCAACACATTCCATTAACACTGGAGCCTGGGGAAAGGCTATTAATGCATTGCAACAAGATGAAGTTGATTCTATTATCATTAAAACAGAATTGAAAGTATGTATCTCGTGACTAATAAAAGGATTTGTTGGTCAGTAGTATTATTGATTTGTCGGTCAATGTTAGATTGGTGTGTTCTCTTGTTAAATATTATCAGTTTAGGGATCATTGGAAAGAAAAAGGAACAAAAATATCATGGACGTCGGTACTGACATTATTGGAGAGATCTATGTGAATTTACAGTGAAATACAGGTGCAAAATGTTATTTTCAAATTTAGCAAAATATTGCACTATTAGTGTATATTGGTGTATTTGTTTGATACATCAAACCATATTGCTACCTATAGTCTGATTCAAGTTTCCTCTTACAATGGTTTTATTCTCAAATATCCATTTAGAGTTAAACATTTATGACAAACAAGAAAACCACGACAACAGTGGTTAAAGACCAATCAGTGTGGTCTTTATTCCTGATGCTGAGAAATCCTTCCTTGTCCAGATAGTTGAGAATGTTTGTATTGCCAACAGGATGAGGCGTTTGCCCTTTGGACAGAGACGTGGGCCAGTCTGTACGAACCTGGCTCAAACTCACACAAGCTGCTCGGTGAGATCCATGACAACTACTACCTGGTGAACTTGGTAGACAATGAGTTCCCCAAGGATTCCTGTCTCTGGGAAGTCGTGGAGAAGATGATTGAGGCCGGGGGGGCCAGTGTCTCACAACAACACATGGATACAGAAACTGGACAACCGTAGAAATCAGGTAATAGGGCTGGACATTTGGCCTGCACTTTACTAGAGTAACTGACTGTCAAGTTTGTTCAAATACTGTGACCTTGACCTATTGAGGGTCATGTATGTGAGAAGATTTCGCCGACATCATTCAATAACAGGTCAATGAGACTTTGGTTTAAGGAAGTTGAGACATAAGGTTACAGCAACACCGGTACCACTGAATCTAGACATACATGAGTAATTTGATTGATAATATATCATGATACAGAGTATTGAGAAACAAGTTCCATTGCCATATCTTTGTTGTATAGGTGTGGCCATATATTGGTCTGACATTTATGTTATTTGTCTGATATGTATTGCCATTAAGTATTGCCATATTTCACTCTGATATGTATTGTACGTTATCAGTTGATATGGATTGTACGTTATCAGTTGATATGTATTGTACGTTATCAGTTGATATGTATTGTACGTTATCAGTTGATATGTATTGTACGTTATCAGTTGATACGTATTGTACGTTTTAAGTTGATATGAATTGTACGTTATCATTTGATACATATTGTATGTTATCAGTTGATATGTATTGTACGTTATCAGTTGATACATATTGTACGTTATCAGTTGATATGTATTGTACGTTATCAGTTGATATGTATTGTACGTTATCAGTTGATATGTATTGTACGTTATCAGTTGATATGTATTGTACGTTATCAGTTGATATGTATTGTACGTTATCAGTTGATATGTATTGTACGTTATCAGTTGATATGTATTGTACGTTATCAGTTGATATGTATTGTACGTTATCAGTTGATATGTATTGTACGTTATCAGTTGATATGTATTGTACGTTATCAGTTGATATGTATTGTACGTTATCAGTTGATATGTATTGTACGTTATCAGTTGATATGTATTGTACGTTATCAGTTGATATGTATTGTACGTTATCAGTTGATATGTATTGTACGTTATCAGTTGATATGTATTGTACGTTATCAGTTGATATGTATTGTACGTTATCAGTTGATATGTATTGTACGTTATCAGTTGATATGTATTGTACGTTATCAGTTGATATGTATTGTACGTTATCAGTTGATATGTATTGTACGTTATCAGTTGATATGTATTGTACGTTATCAGTTGATATGTATTGTACGTTATCAGTTGATATGTATTGTACGTTATCAGTTGATATGTATTGTACGTTATCAGTTGATATGTATTGTACGTTATCAGTTGATATGTATTGTACGTTATCAGTTGATATGTATTGTACGTTATCAGTTGATATGTATTGTACGTTATCAGTTGATATGTATTGTACGTTATCAGTTGATATGTATTGTACGTTATCAGTTGATATGTATTGTACGTTATCAGTTGATATGTATTGTACGTTATCAGTTGATATGTATTGTACGTTATCAGTTGATATGTATTGTACGTTATCAGTTGATATGTATTGTACGTTATCAGTTGATATGTATTGTACGTTATCAGTTGATATGTATTGTACGTTATCAGTTGATATGTATTGTACGTTATCAGTTGATATGTATTGTACGTTATCAGTTGATATGTATTGTACGTTATCAGTTGATATGTATTGTACGTTATCAGTTGATATGTATTGTACGTTATCAGTTGATATGTATTGTACGTTATCAGTTGATATGTATTGTACGTTATCAGTTGATATGTATTGTACGTTATCAGTTGATATGTATTGTACGTTATCAGTTGATATGTATTGTACGTTATCAGTTGATATGTATTGTACGTTATCAGTTGATATGTATTGTACGTTATCAGTTGATATGTATTGTACGTTATCAGTTGATATGTATTGTACGTTATCAGTTGATATGTATTGTACGTTATCAGTTGATATGTATTGTACGTTATCAGTTGATATGTATTGTACGTTATCAGTTGATATGTATTGTACGTTATCAGTTGATATGTATTGTACGTTATCAGTTGATATGTATTGTACGTTATCAGTTGATATGTATTGTACGTTATCAGTTGATATGTATTGTACGTTATCAGTTGATATGTATTGTACGTTATCAGTTGATATGTATTGTACGTTATCAGTTGATATGTATTGTACGTTATCAGTTGATATGTATTGTACGTTATCAGTTGATATGTATTGTACGTTATCAGTTGATATGTATTGTACGTTATCAGTTGATATGTATTGTACGTTATCAGTTGATATGTATTGTACGTTATCAGTTGATATGTATTGTACGTTATCAGTTGATATGTATTGTACGTTATCAGTTGATATGTATTGTACGTTATCAGTTGATATGTATTGTACGTTATCAGTTGATATGTATTGTACGTTATCAGTTGATATGTATTGTACGTTATCAGTTGATATGTATTGTACGTTATCAGTTGATATGTATTGTACGTTATCAGTTGATATGTATTGTACGTTATCAGTTGATATGTATTGTACGTTATCAGTTGATATGTATTGTACGTTATCAGTTGATATGTATTGTACGTTATCAGTTGATATGTATTGTACGTTATCAGTTGATATGTATTGTACGTTATCAGTTGATATGTATTGTACGTTATCAGTTGATATGTATTGTACGTTATCAGTTGATATGTATTGTACGTTATCAGTTGATATGTATTGTACGTTATCAGTTGATATGTATTGTACGTTATCAGTTGATATGTATTGTACGTTATCAGTTGATATGTATTGTACGTTATCAGTTGATATGTATTGTATGTTATCAGTTGATATGTATTGCTGCGATATGTAGCGTACATTGGTTTGATATGTACTGCCATTTATTGCTGCGATATGTAGCGTACATTGGTTTGATATGTACTGCCATTTATTGCTGCGATATGTAGCGTACATTGGTTTGATATGTACTGCCATTTATTGCTGCGATATGTAGCGTACATTGGTTTGATATGTACTGCCATTTATTGCTGCGATATGTAGCGTACATTGGTTTGATATGTACTGCCATTTATTGCTGCGATATGTAGCGTACATTGGTTTGATATGTACTGCCATTTATTGCTACGATATGTAGCGTACATTGGTTTGATATGTTCCTGTAGAAGTGTTTTATGTAGGGTGGATGCCTTGGCTGGGTGTTGACGGTGAACATTTCTACATTATATGGATTGCACACTTTTCACTTTTAGTGACAGCTACATTGCTGAATTTAAGGTTAAAATACTCGCATACTACAAGCTATAAAGGTTGACTGTAATAATCATGTAATTGACCACCATTTCATTAGAATCCATAAGGGATCTAGAGCATTTCAGTGTTATCTAGAGATGTTCTTACTGTATTTTACCAGTAATAGGCCCATGCCTGGTAATAAGCCCCCCCCCCCTAGCAACACTCACCTGCAATCAAGAGAAATTCTTGTAATATGAGCTGATGAACAAATGATATTGGAGTTGTATTAACAGATAGTTCCTGAGTTATTGCCATCTGGGCTCATCCCTCTTCCATTGTATTCATTCCATTATATTCCATTTAACTTTTTAGGTCACCTGAGACAAAGTCTCAAGTGACCTATTGCGATCGCCTTTTGTCCGTCGTCGTCCGTCGTGCGTCCGTAAACAATTTACATTTTCGACTTCTTCTCCAAAACCCCTGAACCAATTTCAATGAAATTTTGCAGGGACCTTCCATGGACAAAGGTCAACAAAA